CATAGTCAATTCTTTTTGCAATTGCTTGCGGCTAGATTTATCTAATAAAGGGGAACACTCTCCAATTGTTTTTGGGATGCTGGAATTTGTCATTTTTAACATTTGACTGAACTCTTTTGGAAATTGACAACAAAATTTTTTTCTGACAACACAGAGCTCAGAGCCGTGCTGTTATTTTAGCTTGTTGAAAAAAAAAAGATACAGTATTGGAGGGCAGGTTAGAATAATATTGAAGCATGTTTCCATTACAGATATCAAATAAAATTGATTTCATTTAATTGTGTTAAAGTTTTGAACAACAATATTTTAATCTTTAATCTTAAGGTTATCTAAAAGCTACTGTTCTCAAAACAGTGACAAAATTAGAATATATAAACATGCTCTCTACTACTTGAAACACCCCGCCCCCTACGAGATACGAGTGTTCAAATTGAGGGTTTGGATAAACACTTGTACATATGAGAAAATAGTAAACCAAGCCAAGCCGTGTTGATCTGAACTCCCTATTCTCCGTTTTGAAAATGGCAATGTGCAGCACCTCTCTACAGAAAGCCCAAAGGGACAAAAATACATTACAAATACAGGAAACTAGGAAATTCAAATTTAAATCTCTTACATAGTGTCCATTTTTATTTGGTGAATTGTACTACAATTTTTTTTGCCTTTTGCCTTCAGATCTGCCTTAATCAATTGTGGAATAGATTCAAGAAGGTGCTCAGATTCGTCAGAGATGTTGGTCCATATTGACATGATAGCATCACGCAGTTGCTGCAGGTTTGTCGGCTGCACATCCATGATGCGAATGTCCCGTTCCACCCCATCCCAAAGGTGCTCTGTTGGATTGAGTTCTGGTGACTGTGGAGGTCATTTGAGTGCAGTGAACCGATTGTCATGTAACAGAAACCAGTCTGAGATAATTTGTGTGGCAAGAAAATATCCCTCACACGGTTACACCATCACCACCAGCCTGAACCCTTGATTCAAGACAGGATGGATGCATGCTTTCATGTTGTTGATGCCAAATTCTGACTCTACCATCTGAATGTTACAACAGAAATCGAGACTCATCAGACGAGGCAATGTTTTCCAGTCTTCTATTGTCTAATTTTGGTGAGCCTGTGCAAACTGTAGCCTTAGTTTCCTGTTCTCAGCTGAAAGGAGTGGCACCTGGTGTGGTCTTTTGCTGCTGTAGCCCATCTGCCTCAAGGTTAGACGTGTTGTGCGTTCAGAGATGCTCATCTGCATACCTCGGTTGTAACGAGTGGTTATTTGAGTTAGTTTTGCCTTTCTATCAGCTCGAACCAGTCCGGCCATTCTTCTCTGACCTCTGGCATCAACAAGGCATTTGCGCCCATAAAACTGCTGCTCACTAAATATTTTCTCTTTTTTCTGACCATTCTCTGTAAACCCTAGAGATGGTTGTGTATGAAAATCCCAGTAGATCAGCAGTTTCTGAAATACTTAGACCCGTCTGGCACCAACAACAATGTTTTGTTCAAAGTCACTTAAATCACCTTTCTTCCCCATTCTGATGCTTTTTTTTGAACTGCAGCACACTGTCTTGATCATGTCTACATGACTAAATGCATTAAGTTGCTGCCATGTCATTGGCTTATAGGAAATTTGTGTTAACAAACAGTTGCACTGTACCTAATAAAGTGGCCGGTGAATGTATATTGGAATACAAACACTCCACAGAAGACCACAAAACATAGCAGACCCATTTGAATTATGCAAAAAGCTGTCAAGAGTCTAATGTGCATTTGCTCAACAGCTCTGACTGGCAAAAATGTAGTGTAAAAAATAGGGAGGATATAAAATAGGGAGGAGCTTTTTTATGCCATTTCCTGTCTTCCTGTTACAACAAACATGCAATAAAAATGCACATTTCAAACCACTTTACAGGGACTTTAAAGAATATATAAAAATATAAAGTCAAAACAGAAGATACAAATGTAACTTTTTAAAAAGTAACATCGTAAGGCCCGAAGTCAATGGAATTTAAGAGCTATGACTGTTGTATAAGTTGTATATCCAAAAGTTGTATAACAATCATGTAAAGTCTCACAAAAAATATATAATTTTTAGGATATAAAATGAAACAACATTATAAAAAAACAACATTAGGGAATATAAAGTCAAATTATAATATTGAAAATCAAATTTGGGAGATTGTGAAGGCTGTGAAGTCACTAAAGACATTGCAAAAAGCCATGCGTCACACCTGACCACTTTTGACTGAATCACTTTAGACAGATTTTGATACCACGTACGTGGTGTTATTTCATCAAAAAGTGTGTGTGTGTGTGTGTGTGTTTTTGATGTGTTTTGAAAGCAAGAATCTGTCCCCTGTCTGCGAAAAGGATGACTTTCAACCCCCCAAAGCTACATCTGAACTTTTCACAAACACCTTCTGACGGCCTGTTCACACAACATTTACACAGTCTTTACAAAGCCTTCACTGTGGATATGAGATTGCAGCCTTCAACCTTTATCAGCTGGAAAATACCAGACGAATTCAAATGAAAACAACAATAAATACACAGACAAATCAAAGCCAAAGAAAACAGCTAATTGTTACTGCACAAATCAAGAATAAGTCCATTGCACTATCCTACTCAAAATGAGAGGAGAGCATGTTTGTGTTGTTCTGCTCCCACTAATTTCACAGACAGATTGGCGGTACAGATGCTTGGGCGCCCTGTCCCTCCTAATGAATATTCAGGACATCAATATGAATATTAACATATTGAAGATGGAGTCATTCAAATACAACAGCCAACTTGCAATAGTGACAGGAACAAACTGTCTCCGTATGCACAGACAGACACACACACGCACAGAGGAAATCTTTATTTTAATAAGCTTTTTCAGTGATGATCATTGTTAATCTCTTCAAATGTCCAGACTGATCAAAACTAAATGGCAGTATATGCTGTATATGCATTCCTGTGTACGGTAAATACACCTTGAATATACTCTGAACAGGTAAAGCCTAAATTTTCTCTCTCCAGACCCACAAACAGACACTCAGTCAGCAGAGGCTTGACTTTAGAAATCTGCTCAATAAAAGCCTACAATTCTGAAATATACATGAGCGCCAATAAATAAGTCAGAATGCAGAACATCTTGCAAAATTCACGACACTGAACACAGAATCTCCAGGACAGTAAGTGTAACCTTACTATAAAAGAGAAACTTGAAGTGGTTGTAATTATATTGCTGAATTATATACATGCATTGCATAATATTGCAAAGCCAGGTTTTGAATTGAAGAAAGTTCACAACTGGAAGAGGCTATCTTTTTAGACAGGCCATAATTCATATTGTTTATTGGAATTTATGGTATGAAGGGCTGCTATTAATAAGGGGTGGCCACAGTAGAATGAACCACCAACTTATCCAGCATATGCAGATGCCCTTCCAGCTGCAACCTAACACTGGAAAACACCCATACTCTTGCATTAACACATGCCCATTTAGCTTATTCAATTCACCTATACCACATGTCTTTGGACTGTGGGGGAAACCGGAGCACCCGGAGGACACCCATGCGAACACAGGGACAGGGAGAACATGCAAACTCCACACTGAAATGCCAACTGACCCAGCAACCTTCTTGCTGTGAGGCAATCATGTTACCCACTGCACCACCGTGACACCCACTGAATTTAAACAAACAAATTAAATTTAGAAGTGTTTAACTTAATTTGTTTGTTTGAATTCAGCACAAATAAATTGTTTACAACTACCTAACTTTAGTTACCATTTTTGTAATTCAAACGAATCATCTTTGAAGCATTTTTTTTATTTTGTATGAAGTGACAGACCACAATTCATATTGCTTTTTAGAATTTATGGTATGAAGTGCCGTTACAATATCAGAATTTTAAAATGTCTATCAATCTATTCATATCTATGATGCAATTTGTTGTATGGAACACAAAGTCTGTTTGTAAAAATGTCTGTATGTATGTATGAATTTATTTATTTGGTTTGTTTTTGTTTTAAACTGACTTTTACTGTTTAGAAAAAAATATGGGTGGCACGTTGACTCAGTGGTTAGTAGAGCTGTACGATTAATCGAAATCGGTTTGCTCAAGAGAAAAAATAAGTGTTAAATTTCTGAATATTTATAAACAAATATGAATAAATGTTGGAGTAATGTAATATCTTTTTAGTTCCTTTTTTTAATAACACTCGCTGCATTTTAGCAGTAAGAAGCTTTGATACTGAATATCGAGCTGAAGCTTGATTATAAAATTAAATCACAAATAAAATAAAATAAAAATAAAATAAATTGCAGTTAGATATTTTCCCCAAATCTCACAGCCATATTGGTTAGCACTGCTACCTCACAAAAAGAATTTCTGTGTGGAGTTGGCATGTTCTCCCCGTGTTTGCGTGGGTTTTCTAAGGTGCTCCAGTTTCCCTCACAGTCCATGTGGTATAAACAAAACTGGCCATAATGTATGAGTGCGTGTGTATGAATGAAAGAGTGTATGGATGTTTCCCTGTGTTGAGTGGCCGCTGGAAGGGCATCTATGACATCCATAGCATAAAACATATGCCAGAGAAATTTGCGGTTCATTCCCCTGTGGCGACCCCTGATAATTCAGGGACTCAGCCGAAAGATAGTCAGTGAGACAAAAATAGCAGTGAAAGAAACATTTACAAATGAGCTTATTGTCTTACATTATAATATAGTTTAATATTTTTAGAAGTTATCTTGTTCCATTAAAAAAAGAAAAAAGTAGAGCAGGCTGTTAGCAACACCAAGAACATGAATTTGAATAGGCAGTAAACGCCAGAGCTTAAAAATATTTAGACTGAGAATGTTTAGAGATGTAATATAAGTGGGCTTTGAATAAAAGCCTCTTCTGAATGCAGTTATGTGCCTTTTTACATATTAAAATATTCTGTAGCAAAATATTTGATGTGCATGTTCAATGGTCGTCCAACTGCTTGTCCCTGTTCAACTAACTCTATGTGTCTTTCAGCTTGTGTTCAGAAAGATCAGTGATGTGAAGCGTGAGGAAGAGGAGAGGCTGAGGAGGAAGAACGAGGCCCCTCTGAATCTCCCCCCAGATCATCCCGTTCGCCGTCTCTTCCAGCGTTTCCGCCAGCAGAAGGAAGCCCGTCTTGCTGCTGTACGGCCTAATTCTGAAGACTCTGATCTTGAGAAGGGTCAAATCCACAATGAAGTCATCAGCCAAGATGTGATTGCCACCACAAGCATCGTTACTGTGACAGAGAGTCCAGCTACACCCATCCCATCCCACCTCATCAAAAACCGCACCCTAGGTCCATTCGACCAGGCGAAGCTTAGTGCCCCTGCCCCAAATGCCTCCCGCATGTCTGAACCACGTGCACGAGGATGGGCAAGGTTCAGGGAGAGCGTGGCAAAGCCTGAGAGCTGGGGAAACGTTCCTAAAGCTGAATCCATGGAGACTCTCCCTGAGCGGAGTAGCTCCGCAAAGACTTCAGAGCCTAGCGGACTCAAGAAGACAGACTCCTGTGATAGCGGCATTACCAAAAGTGACCTACGGCTGGATGAGGGTGGTATCCGCACCCCTGTGGACCGCAGTCCAGTCCAGCCCGATGGAAAATCTCCCCCAATCCCACCCATTCCAACCATTCCCGAACACACGCTGCAAGCCTCGCTCTTGGAGCTCCGCACTGAACTCAAAGAAGAACTGTCGGCGCTCGGGAACCGAATGGTTGCGCTGGAGGCGCAGGTCGCTGAGGTGCTGAGGTTGTTGCGAAACAGAAAGTCTCCAACCTCACCCATGTCGCTCTTCCAGATCTCACGGCCAACATCGCCAGACACAGACAAGGAGGACATGTTCCCTTGAAGAAAATGAGGTAAGAATATTTCTTCTTGAAAAGGGAAACTATTGAGACTTCCTCTGAGAAGAGAAGAAGAAATGGAACCACTTCTGACATCTGTGCCAGCAAAAAGCATGACAGACTTTGTCTGTGTGAGAAAGAGAGAATGAGTGAGGGAAAGGATGGAATAAGACACTGGAAAGGAGGAGAGGATGTCTTATCCCAAGGCAGAGCATCTGCGATACCAAAGTGATGGCGTGTTGGTTGTCACACGGAGACTCTGTGTGGAACTGCTCCCTGTTTTAGTCCTGCGAGGCTGACAGACAGTGAGAGCTCTTGCCGCAGGGCCCACTCTGACTGATGGTTGTCATGGCAATGAGCCATCCCCAAATGCAAGTGCGGACCCTTCAAGATCCAACTCATGTAGCAAGTCTTCCCCTCTCTCTTTCACTCTATCACACACACCGCTGTTTATGCTCTGCACTTTTTCTGGTGTGGACATCTTTTCTGCACCGTCCTGCTGGTTAACTCACCGCCGAATATGAGCCTTTTTCAGGAATCAGAGCTACGCGTCTTGCGCAGATATAGGGCGGTGTGGATTTGAGCTGCTAGACGAAAGATTGAAGAACACAAGAGTATTCCAGAAACCACGGAAACCCTAGACAGCTTCGGTGAATTACTTTAGACAAATGTGTTTGTACAATGACAAATCAACTACTATCCCAAGAGTTGTACACGTTACAGGAGAAACTAATGAGCTCTGTAGGGGTTTTATAGTGTAACAGCTGTTAAGACCCTTTTCCATGACTTGCGTCAATGCATCTCTCAACAAAATAAAAAATAATATCAGACAACAGTGGTTTAACAGATGTTTAGGAATGTTATCATTGTAGGATATTATTGCGTTTTTTTTTTCTACACATATCAGCCAACACTGAACATTGTACAGTATATTTAGCTTTTTGTTTAGGTAACATTGGCTGTCCTTTAATGCTCACTTGATCTTTAAAAGAACACATATTTAACAAGACTGTTAATTGCATTCTGTAGCAAATTTTTCAATGATTTTTTTTCATAGTGTCCGTTATGTTGTGATGCCTAACTTCACATTTACTATTTATAATATGCTTTTTTTTTCTTTTTTTTTTGTAATTTATACATAAAGCATTTAATATTTATCATTATCAGTTATTAGTCATAGTGTTTATGGCTTATATCATTAGCCATCAGAAAATTTACATTGGTATATCCCTATAAACATTTTTAGCCTGGTCCAATATAAGAGTGAACAAAAAAGGGCAAAAGCAAAACTTTCATTACTACAGTTATTCTAACATATCTAATATTTTTTTCTATAAATAGACCATTTCAATGAGGTCATGTCATTGGCCGTGAACATTTCCTGTTTGTTTTCAAACTATTTCATAACTGTAACAAGAGGCAATTCAGTCATAACTTAATGTTAAAACAGCTATCATAACATTCTTTTCCAAAATGTGGCTCTTTTTGGATTCTCGAAAGCTATAGGAATTAAAAATGTAAAACAGGAAATGCGTTGGGACCATTGTTGTTGTTTACATGCTTCAAAATGGCCTATATACTCAAAAACGTGCCCATTGCCTCTGCCCTTAAACCTTATATAGATATTCCTTTGATATTTTAGGCATTGTGTTACAGTGTGCGATCAGTGCATCAGTGGTGATGCTGTAGCATGATGTTTAATGCATTGGTACCGTAGATGTTGAAGCAAGTCATGTGAAAGGATCTTCATCTCCTCTGGTCTACATCAAGCATATTCAGACAAGTTCATCAGTGACTTGCTGGATTGCAGTTTTATATTATAACAAATGAAAGAATTAGTGAAATGAAAGGACGTATGTTGATTCTTTAGTAATGATTGGGTCTTCCAGAAAGCACATACATATTACCGTTGGCACACTATTATTGTTATAATTCAGACCTGTAGTGCATTGTAGCTGTGTTTTTTTTCTAAATGAAATGATGGATGTAATTAATACACACGATTTTTGGTCATAAATCACAGTTTATCATAACAGTTAAGGTGTGGTCACATTAGAGGAATTTTGGTGAAAATGTCTGTTGTCAAAAACAGATATTTGAAGCTATTTTGCTTGGCTTTTTCACAAGTTCTAATATTAAATGTGATTCTGTTCAAAAATAAAGACAGGTGTGTTTAACAAAATAATCTACAATTAATTAACAATGCCTGACTGTCACTGAAGGGCTAGTTCACCCAAAACTCTGTAGTTTACTCAAACTTTACTTCTTTAAAACCTTTTTAAATGAAGATATTTAAAAATAAACATTTTGGTAGCTGACACCCATTTATTTCCATGAAAAGTTAATGTGGTCCAAGACAAGGTTATAATAGTTTTACATTTTACATTTTTCATTTGTTTTTAGTTTTTATTTCATTTTGACTTTTTGTTTTCAAATTCAGTCAGTTTTAGTTTGTTTTTAGAGGAAGATTTACTAGTTTTATTAATTTTAGCTTGTTTGTTGTTGTATAATAAAAACTCAACCAAAGATATGCTACATTTTAATTTTGACAAAAGAACACTACCATCTACCACTACCACCTACCCATTCTTAAATTCAAATACACAGCCCACAAGATACTGTATGTGAGCAAGGCTGTTTCTGAGGTTAGGTAGCTACACTGATGGGAAGTTCGGATCTTTAACGTGAACCGGATCTTTTGCAACAATCTTCCCATGTTTGGACTCAACTTATCAAAAATATGTTGTCAATAACCATAATTTCAGTCAGTTAAAATATCAATGTGACCTAAATTTACAATTATGTTTTGCAACACAATTGAGGCATGATTCACTTATCTTACCATTACGATTTTCTGTTATGAAATAAACTTACGTTTCCCCAGATCTTCTCATTTAAGCCCTCGGTTTACCAGTGCTGCAGTCGTTCAAGTTTAGTTCAGTCACAGCAGGCTGTCGTGTACTGTTTGTGTTTGATTCACAATCTGTAAGTTATTTATGGATGTGCTTAACGGTACTGGAGGCGCGAATCGTTTCAAATGATTCAGCTCGATTAGGTGAATTAGTTTAACTTTGAAGATCTGTTTAAAAAGAACCATTCGCAATCACTAAAACAGAAATAAAACCCATTATTGAACACTACTGTGTTAAATGAATACTTTTAAATGTATGCTCGTGTCGTATTTAAGATTTACTCCTAAAAGGCTTACAGTATGTATTAATTACATTTACAAAGACGAAAATGAAGGGTGTTTTTGCTATAATTTTAGTTAAAGTTAGTTTTGTATACAATACAGTTTCAGTTCTAGTTTTAAAAACTTGTTTTATTTTTATTTCAGTTAACGAAAATGTTTTTTCAATTGTGGTTTCTTTGCCCTTTGTTTTATTAACTATGATAACCAAACAGCATTCGTCAAAATATCTGTTTTGTGTTCAACAGAAGAAAGAAACCCATAAAGGTTTAAAGCCACATGAGTGAATGATTTACTGTTTATTTTTGGTTGAACTATCCCTTTAAGAATTATTGGCAATATCAAAGTCTTTATGGAGAATATGAATGAACCTGACTGCTTCATTCTATCAGAGTAACTGATAATGTGACCACATCCTTACAAGAACATTTCACCATGACAACAAACATCGAAAAACACAACAAATCTCAGGAATGCAGAGAGGTGAAGGTCAGAGAGCTGAGAATATTCTAACCCCTTTCCTGGATGTTTTTATATATTTACTGCTGCAGATGTGGCATTATTTTTCCACCAGCCCTGTTAGCATGTGTTCAATTAAAAACAAAAAACAAACTCTTGGCTTTTTCAATAGGGGTGACTGGGTCTTGATGTCAATAGTCTTAAAAATGCTTTTTAAAAAAAAAACAGGTTTCCACTGTGATCCATATGAAATGTTTCTTTTTGTCTGGTCCATTTGCCGTTTATTTTACTTAAAAAAAAATTTTTATATAAAAAAAGTAAAAGCTAAAACAACATTAAGAAACATTGAACAGCTAGTCCCAGTCTCCCCTTTTTATTATATTATATAAAGCTCCTAATGCAAGTTAGGAGTTAATCTGTTAATCACAGAGCCAAGATATAAATAGCTGTTTATTTGCCTCTCTTTTGCAGCATCCTCCCCCATATCAACTCCACCTTGATTTCCATAATGAGGTCCAGAGGGGAACAGAGCGAGGCTCATGCTTTTAGCCCCTCTATTCACAACGCCACCAAACCAGACTATCTTCATCTATAACACTATAAGCAAGCACTATATAAAACATATACTATATGTTATATATCAAGTACTATATCTTGATTAATTGCACCCAAGATAAATGTTTGTATGTACATAATATATACATGTGTACTGTATATATTTGTGTGTATATATACACAAACATACAATACATAAAATAAAAAATATACAAAAATAACATATTTACATATATTTATTTTCTATATAACTTGTATTATACACACAGTACTAGGGCTGCACATTATATTTCAGCATCAATATCGCAATGTGCACATCTGCAATAGTCACATCGCAGGATATGCAATGTTGAGTTTCAGTTAGTTGATCAGGAGCTACAGATTACATGTGATTTGTTGCATCATTACTAAGTTTAACCATATTAGGAGTGAAACTAGCATTTGCATGCGTTTTTACACCATTTCAAGGGAGTTTAAAAAGTTTAGCTGCAAAAAAATTATAATGTTGAAAAGTGTGATAATGATTAATTGTAATAAATCATTTATATGGAATTTAACTGAATTCAAACTGAAAAGAAAGAAGATTATTATACTTATCCTATTGGCAGAGAATTGTGCTTATTTTAAGGAAACTCTTAATTTACACTTATTTCTTCTGAGGCGAAAATAAAACTATATTTATACTTAATCTAAGAACATTTTTGGTATTTGGACTAGAAACAAGAAAACTTTAGCACTGTGGTGATTCAATTTCAATACCTAAACACATTTAGACTCCCCAGCAGACAACTGTCAAAAAGACCAATTCAAACCATGAACAGTATTCATAATGCAATAAATATCCTGTTGATGAAAATTTAAATATTGAGATTTTTTACCAATTTCGTGCAGCCCTACACAGTATAGATACATTTCTTGTAAATATGAACTTTTATTTTGGATGCTATTAATCACATGACGGCACTATAATATATATATATATATATATATATATATATATATATATATATATATATATGAGATGCTTAAATCATCCAGGTTCTCGTTATTGAAAGCAACCAGATAAGCATGCTGTGTGTGTTGGGAATGAACATAATGTGTTTAAGCCACATGTTAGCATGCTGTGTGATGTTCTCAGTTTAGAGAGGTCATTATCAGGTCCACAGGAGATGTGCTGAGGTCAGAATCACCTCAGTCACCTGCTTCTCTGCTAACTGAGAGCGGAGACACACACAGAGATGAGAGGCCAGAAGAATGACTCAAAACCAAAACACAGCCAAGGTCATATCATACAGAATATCACACACTGCATGGCCACAGTGATAATAATACGAAGAAAACAACTGTTTGCAGGCAAGCAGACACTTTAGAGTCTATGACTAGATTTTAAGTGCAGTGATTAATATGTGTTTTTGGTTATGTTATGGCAATAAATATTTTAATGATGCTAAAAAGTATATGACCATGACAATGTACACTACCTTTTTTCCCCCATGTTTTTTATTATTCTGTTCATCAAGGCGACATTTATTAAATAAAAAATTTTTTTAAATATTTATTCAAATTTAAAATAACTGCTTTTTTATTGTATGTAGTTTCAAATGAAATTATTACTCCAGTCTTTATTGCTTTTATTACTATCATCATTGATGATAGTAATAGTAATAATAATAATAATAATAATAATAATAATAATAGTAACAATAAAAATAACAATAAATAATATTAGAGTAACTTCTGAAGGATCGAATGACTCTGAAGAGTGAAAATTTATCTATAACATCGCTGGAATAAATTATTAAATTAATTGATAAACTACTTTTGAACAGTTATTTTAAAGTGCAATAATATTTCACAATTGTACAATCTGTACAGCATTTTTGATTAAATAAATGCAGCCTTGGTAAGCAAGATAAGCTTATTTTAAAACATTTAAAAATCCTACTGACCCCAAACTTTTGACCAGTAGTGTATGTTTAAATAAATTACTCAAGATTTAACTTATTTTAATTTAATGCAGATTGAAAGCACATGTAAAATGTTTTTTTTTTCTTACTGGATTGAACAATTCTACAATATTTACAGTGAATAACAGGCCAGAAATATTTGAATTATTGCAAAGGAAAGTATTTGCTTGCACGCAAACAGATTTTTATTCTCTTATTTGCCAAGCAGT